ATTGATCGTGCTGACTGACTGCATACAGCAAGTCAGGACATTAGGGATCAAAGATAAAGCCCAGGTTTCTGCAAGGACCCTTTCATCTGTGTTGTTAGCATAGGAAAATTCCATGAACAGAGGAGTCTGGCGGGTCCATGGAGTTGCAGAGTCAGATACGACTGACCGAGCACTAAACACATACACACAGGCAGGGTATTCAGTTCAATTCAGTCATTTAGTCATGTCCCACTCTTTGTGACCCCATGGACTGCAGCATGCCAGGCCTCTCTGTCCATCACCAACTCCCGCAGCTTACTCAAACTCATGTCCATCAAGTCGGTGATGCCATCCAACCATCTCATCCTCTGTCGTCCCCTTTTCCTCCTGCCCTCAATCTTTCCCAGCATCAGTGTCTTTTCAAATGAGTCAGCTCTTCGCATCAGGTGGCCAAAGTATTGGAGTTTCAGTTTCAACATCAGTCCTTCCAATGAACGCTCAGGACTGATAACCTTTAGGATGGACTTGTTGGATCTCCTTGCTGTCCAAAGGACTCTTCAAGAGTCTTCTCCAACACCACACTTCAAAAGCATCAATTCTCATGTGCTCAACTTTCTTTATAGTCCAACTCTCACATCCATACATGACTATTGGAAAAACCATAGCCTTGACTAGATGGACCTTTGTTGACAAAGTAAAGTTTCTGCTTTTTAATATGCTGTCTAGGTTGGTCATAACTTTCCTTCCAAGGAGTATGCGTCTTTTAATTTCATGGCTGCAGTCACCATCTGAAGTGATTTTTGAGCCCCCCAAAATAAAGTCAGCCACTGTTTCCACTGTTTCCCCATCTATTTGCCATGAAGTGACGGGACCAGATGCCATGATCTTAGTTTTCTGAATGTTGAGCTTTAAGCCAAATTTTCACTCTCCTCTTTAACTTTCATCAAGAGGTTCTTTACTTCTTCACTTTCTGCCATAAGGGTGGTGTCCTCTGCATATCTGAGGTTATTGATATTTCTCCCGGCAATCTTGATTCCAACTTGTTCTTCCTCCAGCCCAGCCTTTCTCATGATTATGTGCTCTGCATATGTAAAATAAGCAGGGTGACAATATACAGCCTTGACATACTCCTTTTCCTATTTGGAACCAGTCTGTTGTTCCATGTCCAGTTCTAACTGTTACTTCCTGACCTGCATACAGGTTTCTCAAGAGGCAGGTCAGGTGGTCTGGTATTCCCATCTCTTGAAGAATTTTCCACAGTTTTATTGTGATCCACAGAGTCAAAGACTTTGGCATAGTCAATAAAGCAGAAATAGGTGTTTTTCTGGAACTCTCTTGCTTTTTCAGTGATCCAGCAGATGTTGGCAATTTTGATCTCTGGTTCCTCTGCCTTTTCTAAAACCAGCTTGAACATCTGGAAGTTCTTGGTTCACATATTGCTGAAACCTAGCTTGGAGAATTTTGAGCATTACTTTACTAGCGTGTGAAACAAATGCAATTTTGTGGTAGTTTGAGCATTCTTTGCCATTGTCTTTTTTTGGGATTGGAATGAAAACTGACCTTTTCTAGTCCTGTGGCTACTGCTGAATTTTCCAAATTTGCTGACATATTGAGTGCAGCACTTTCACAGCATCATCTTTTAGGATTTGAAATAGATCAACTGGAATTCCATCACCTCCACTAGCTTAGTTCGTAGTGATACTTCCTAGGGCCCACTCGCCTTCACATTCCAGGATGTCTGGCTCTAGGTGAGTGATCACACCATTGTGATTATCTGGGTCATGAACATCTTTTTTGTGCAGTTCTTCTGTGTATTCCCTCCACCTCTTCTTATATTAGAAGGAGATTTACAGGTGAAAATGATGAGTGAATTTTGGACATATTAGGTGTCAGGTGTCTGGGAAGATGTTACAATGGCCTTTGAGTATTCAGTTTTAAAATTTAGGAGAGTGATGTGGGTTGGAGATTTCATTCGGAATGTGAGTACCATGTCAGTGGGTAAATAAAGCCATAGAAGTAAATGAAATGGCACAGGGAGGGCATGCACAGTGAGAAATAAAGAAAATTGAAGATAGACCCAGCAGAGCCCCAACATTTAAGAATCAAGTAACAGGTAAAGCATAGCTAGAGTTGAAGCAGTGTGGCTTCATAGAAGAGAGTATTTCAAAGCAGAAGGGGTGACCCTGGTATTGACCCCGAAGAAATGAAAACATGTTCCCATAGAGAAAGAAAGTGAAGTCGCTCAGTGGTGTCTGACTCTTCGTGACCCCATGGACCCCACCAGGCTCCTCCATCCATGGGATTTTCCAGGCAAGAGTACTGGAGAGGGTTGCCATTTCTTTAGAGACCTGTACACAAATGAGTATAGTGGTTTTATTAGTATTTTACACAATCTAAATATCCATCAACTGGTGAAGATAAATTGTGATGCATCTGTAGAATGTATTACAATTTAGCAAGGATAAGGAATTACTTATACTCACAACAACACGGAGGACTCTCAAAAGCATTTGCTAAGTGAGAGAAGCCAAACACAAAAGGCTACGCATATTGATTGGTTCCACTTACAGGACATTCTGGAAAAAACGAAACCATGGGGATGAAAATCAACTCAGTGTTGCCCGGGAAGTGTGAGGAGGGGCTTGCTATCAGGGCAGTGAGAGGAGCTGCCTGGGGTGATGGTAATGTTCCATATTGTGACTATGGTGGTGACTTCATGACTGTGTAATGTATCTGAACTCACAGACCTGGACACCTGAAAAAGATGAGTGTAACTTATGCCTCGATAAACCCAACTTAAATTTAAAAAAAAAATACAAAAAGGAGTGGTCAAAATGTCAAACCCTGGTCCTAAGTCACATAGGAAGAGGACAGAGATGTGTACTGCAGTCAGCCTTGGTGACTATAGGGGGAGCAGTGTCCGTGATGAGGCAGAAGCTAAGGACAGAGGAGTTCGGCAAAGATGGCTGGTTGTCCCCCAGTACCCATTTCCCTCTTCTTTCATGGGAATGGAGTCTCTGACTTTCAGCAATATTCACGACTATACAGACCGAACGAAGACTGCTCCACCCAGGCTCCCTGGAAACTGAATAAGGTCATGTGAATGAATGCTTCCTTTGACATGCTTCCTTTGCCTTTTCTACTGTTTGTGCTTGAAAATGGAATGCAGACACAATGGCTGGAGTCTAAGCAGCAAAGTATCTTGGATCATGAAATCACTTTAGGGGGGGACACCACAAATAAAAGAGCAACATTTTGGGGGAGGCTGGGTCTCAGCTCTTTGAGAACTGCTAAACTGATCCAAGTCTCTGAACTTAGAAGAGGTAGAACAAATGTGTTTCCTGATTAAGCCTCTTGATTCCTCACAGATGAACTTAATTCTGTAGGCTGCAGGGAGTAAATATGAGGAAAGGATGTAGAGATGGTGAGTATGGGCAACCCTTTCAAGAGGCTTGACTACAAAGCAGAAGAGTAAACCATAGGATGGTAGCTGAAGAGGGACATGGGCTGAGGAAGGGTTTTCTGATCTCCAGATTCACTCTGGATCCTCTGAATGGAAACCTGGAGAAGATCTAGGATCTCTTTCCACAAAATGACCTGTGAATCATCACTGGGTTGACTGTGGGGCTCACTTTTCAGAGGGAGAGGAAGGGAGTGAATCTACCCAGAACACCTTGTGCCGCTTTCTTTTCAGTCTCTTGAGTGTGTAGAGCTCTTCCCCGTCCTGTCTAGAGCCACCAAACAAGTTGGTGGCTGCTTAGAATGCCCTTCCCACTGTGGTTTGCATTTCCCAACCTTCCCCTTCCCAGGCCAGCCCTTTAAAATCTGGGGGGGGGGGTACTTCCCTTTGAGTCTCCATCAGAATATTTTTTTTAAACTGCTATAATAAGATATAGTTTATATACCATAAAATTCATCCAGAATGTACAGTTCAATGCTTTTTAGTAAATCCAAGAGCTCTGTATCATCATAAATTAATTTTATTATTTTTTATAATTATTTAAAAAAATATTTGTTTTTATTTATTTCTTTGACTGTGTTGGGTCTTAGTTGCAGCATGTGGGATCCACTTCCCTGACCAGGGATCAAACACTGGGCCCCCTGCATTGGGAGCATGGAGCCTTAGCCACTGGACCACCAGGGAAGTCCCTATTTTTTATAATTATTTTTAATTTTTGGCTGTGCTGCATCTTCCTTGTTGTGTGGGCTTTTCTCTAGTTGTGGCAAGTGGGGGCTGTGTGTGGCCTTCCTATTGCAGTGGCTTCTCCTTGCAGAGCACCAGTTCTAGGGCACAGCAGGCTTCAGTAGTTGCAGCAGGTGGCTCAGTAATTGCGGTTGGGTTCCAGGGCTCCAGAGCACAAGCTCAATAGTTGTGGCTCTGAGGCTTTGTTGCTCCGCAGCATGTGGAATCTTCCCAGACCAGGGATCAAACCCATGTCTTCTGCATTGGCAGGCGGCTTCTTTAACACTGATCTGTTTGTTTATTTATTTATTTTTCTTTCTCTGTACTTTGTCCTTCTACATTAGTCTGAGCTTCACCAAGGCAGGGACTGAGATGGCTAAGCTTAGGGCTGCATCCCCAGCACCTAGCAGACACCTGCTCGCAGAGGGACCCGGAAGTAAGATGTAATGACAGCTTGAAGCTTGTCTCATCCACTCTTCACTGCAGCAGGTGCAAGGCCCCTGGATGGGAGCCAGGTTCCCACTCGGGAAACCATTAGGAGTAGAGGATTCTCAGAGGGATTGTAGGGAGGGAATATATGCCCCCGGGAGGCTTATGACTCTGGGGTGGGGCCGTGGTAATTTGGGAAACCATGTTCAGTCTATCTATTGTTTTCAAAGGACCAACTAGGGAAAGTAACTCTGGGCAATATCTTTCTGGCAGGCGGGAATACGCAGAACGTGGAGCGGTAAGAAGGGCGTGGGGTCGCCAGTGTGATGGAACACCGCATTAACGCGCCGCAGCGCAACTGGAGTTTTCCTTGGGAAACTCAAGACTGGATGGCCGCTGAGCTGGCACAATGGCGTTTCCGAACCTGTGCCCAGTCTGTGGGGGGCAGTACTCGCTAGTTGCGGAGGCCAGGCGCTTCGTTCTCTTGCAACTTCCAAGCCGCAAGAGCTGCAACCTTGCCAATGACTCAGTCGTTTCCCTGCACCCTCTGGGCTGTGCCACCCGCCGCAGCCGCACATCTCCCGCCTCTCACCGGTTCCCGGCGTCTCGGGGCAGCGCCGCCCGTCCCAGGGGAGCCGCTGGCGCACCTGGCGCCTCGGGCGCCCGGGCCCTGCGCGCTGGTGGCCACACCGCCCGGCGCCCAGCTGCTGCGCGCTCCCTCCCCAAACACTTAAGTGGAGTGGCTTGTCTAGCGCCCAGCGAACAACATTATCCAATTGCTTCCCGTTTTATTCGCAGGCTGGGAGCTGAGAGAGCCTGAGCGTTCACTTTCAACCCTCAAGGGGAGGAGGGATTGCGGGTGGGGAGGGGGGACGCTCCGGGCTCCACCTCGCGCGCGCGGCGCGACCAGAGCGCCCGGCTCCGGCAGAGGAGAGCAGCTCCGGAGAACCCCGCAGCAGCCCGGAGCCCCGCGATGGAGTGAGTATCCCCGCGCCGCGCGCGCCTTTAGCTGCTTTCCCCTCCGCATGTTGCTATGGCGACCGAGGCAGCCGGCTGATCCCGGCTTGGGTCCCGGTCCAGGATGGGTGTTTAATTTCAGCCCCGTGTGTACGCCTGGCGTTTCTATAGCAGCAGCCGGGGAGGCAGGAGCCAAGGGATGGGAGACCTGGGATGCGTGGTTTTGGCCGCTGCCCCTTGGCCAGCAGGGCCTCGGGAGGGGACGATGTTGCTGAAGAGGGAGGCACGTTCTAGGTTTTCCCGTCCCTGCCCCAAGCTTCCGCCACTCAGGGAGTTGGCGCAATAGCCTTTACTTACGATTCCTAACCTTGTCAGCATTATTGGACTGCAGTTAAAAAAAAAAGGAGTATGTATGTGTGTGTGTGTGGGGGGGGGGTCACTGCGGATCAGAAGCAAATGTAGTTTGATATGAAGCGTGTAATGGAAGCATGATGAGTTAGTGGGGAGTATGAGCCAGGGCTGCAGTGCCCCGGCTACTGGAAACCATGAGGACCCCCAAATAATTGATTTGTTCCTGGAGTAATTGAGAAAGGAGACAGAACAGTAGGACCAGCAGCTGAGGGTTGAATTACAACGTTTGGCATCGTGGGCACTGCATGGGAGGCATGGGGAAGAGGGCATGAAGGCAAGAGGGGCGTTAACCAGCAAAGACACAATGAAGGTCTTGGGTGGAGGTGCGGACTGGGATTCCTCTCTCCTCTCTCTTGGCATCCCTGCGTTGCTTTTTGGTCATTCTTCCAGGCTGCTGCCGCAGCAGAGCCACTCTGACAGGCGACAGGCTCCAAGAAAGAGTCATTTTGGGAGCCAGCTATTAGATACCGATCAAGTCCTCCTCCCCTTTTCTTCCCACGGATACTCCCTGACATTGACGCTGTATGAAATCATATTTCAGCCCGGAGATAATGTCCTGTTTTCAGGTACTAGGACTAAACCCTAGATGCAGCTTGTGTGTTCCCTGCCCCCACCCCCTTCATATCTGATTGTGTAGATGCAATTTAATCCTCACCAACAAGGCTGCTAGAGCAGAAGTGAGGGATGGCGTGGCATTTTAGCGATGAGGAGTTGTGGATTTCAGCCTCTGCCTTGGCTGGTCCTTGTGCCAGTGATTTCCTACACCAGTCTTTTGATGTCTCTGAGCCTCAGTTTCCCTATTTATACAACGGAGGTAAAGATGTTCCTTACTCATTTTGAAGTATTGAGAGGATCAGATAATGTTTCTTTCTCTTCTAAAGTGCTCTGTCAATTGTAAGATATGCAGATTTAAGGAGCTATTGATCAAGGCTCTGGAATCAGTTTGCAGGCTTTGAGTCCTTTTACACTTTGCTGCCATGACATTAGTCTCTCTGAGCCTCATTTCTGGAAACAAATGGTAATAATAGCAACACTTTTAGTGATTTTTGTGAAGATTAAGCCAGTTGAGGCATACCAAGTTTTTCTTAGAACAGAACCTAGCACACACTAAACTCAATAAATAGCATCAATTACCAATGTTATTATTACTATTATGGTCTCCAGCATTTTCCAGTGACATTTGATGGAGTCTCAGGTTGGCATCTAGCTTTTTTTTCAGACACTTGCTAAAGAAACACAGTGTCCCAAGGGCAACTGAGAGTAGCACAGTTTTAAGATACCAGTGTAGGTGCAGACAACCAGAAGACACAGCAGGCTTGGGGATATGGAGCAGAAACTGGCCACCTTGCCTGTGGCCGCTCTCCATTCCCATCCTCATTGCTGTTTTCTGACCCAGAGGTTGTCTGTTTTAAGAGACTGAATGTAAGTCTAGTTATTTGCTAGGGGAGTAATTTTCATCTTTGCGATTTCACATTAACACTCTAATGTATATAACATATCTGCCAGGCTTAGAGGGTGAGAGTTTAGTAACTGTGTCTAGGATTTGTCCATTTACCTCCTCAGACCTTCCCTCTATTTCCTCTCCATCTCCCGCTAAGCTTTGTTCCAGGTGTGCCTGTTTCCCACCTGGAACTCTTTGAAAACAAAGGGTTTTCTCATTATACCCTTCTGCTCCCTCCGTGGGATCCCAACTGGGGCCTCATCCAGCCCCCTTCTCCCCACGGGCCTGGCCCTGGATTTCCCCTTCCCCTGTGACATTCCAAAGCCCTCCTCACCTCCCAGTTAACCTCGAGCATTTCCAACTGTTTATCTGTTCTTTGCCTCACTCCCTCTGCGTCATTAGTATGATTTGCTTTTTAACTCTTTACTTCCCCTTTCAGAATACCATGTTTTTTTGTCCTACCTTGAAATTTCCCACCTGCACTTCCTCTCCTTCCCCTCAATCTAAACTGTCTCCAAGTCTCATCCTAGATAGGACAGCTTGCCTTAAATGTGGGTGAGATAGGGACTCAATTCTCCTTACTTACTGTATCCAACTCAGGTTTATGGAAAAAAAAAATAATAAAAGAGGGAATGAAATTCACTTCCTTCTTTTATTTTTTCATTTAACCAACAAGTATTTGTGGAGGTTAGCACTGGTCAACGAAACAGTCATGATTCTTATCACCTGGAGTTCATTGTCTAATGAAAGGATAGATGTTAAACCAGTAAACACAAATGAATCTATGTTGTTGTTCAGTCACTGGGGTCTGGTTCTTTGCAACCCCATGGACTGTAGCACTCCAGGCTTCCCTGTCCATCACAAACTCCCGGAGCTTGCTCAAACTCATGTCCATCGAGTCGGTGATGCCATCCAACCATCTCATCCTCTGTTGTCCCCTTCTCCTCCTGCCTTCAATCTTTCCCAGCATCAGGGTCTTTTCTAATGAGTCAGCTCTTCACATCAAGTGGCCAAAGTATTGGAGCTTCAGCATCAGTCCTTCCAATGAATATTCAGGGTTGATTTCCTTTAGGATTGACTGGTAAAGTACAATAAATGCCATGGAGGAAAAAACACAGAGAAAATGACAGGAAGAGGATATAGGTTAGGCTAGGGGGTCAGCAAAGCCCCAATGAGGAACTGAAATGTAATGTGACATATAAAGGAGAATCTAATGTAGGAATTGGCTGATTAAAGAATAGATGGGAGAAGCACTCTGGGCTGAGAAAACAGCATGTGCTAAGGCCCTGAGACAGGAGAGACCTCAACAAGTTGGAAGAACTGGAGGAAGGGTCCTGTGGCTGGAGTTTTGCAGTGAGGGGATGATGGTTCAGAGATGGCTAAGTGCGTGGAGCAACCAAAGAACTTTCGGCACCTTTCCTTCTGAAGATGACCAACAAGGACCTACTCTATAGCACAGGGAGCTCTATTCAGTGTTATGTGGCATCCTGGATGAGAGGGGATTTGGGGGAGAATGGATACATGTATATGTATGGCTGAGTTCCTTTTGCTGTCCACCTGAAACTATCACAACATTGTTAATCAGTTCTATTCCAATATACAATAAAAAGTTTAAAAAATGAATGTGTCATAGCCAAGTATGAGAATGCTTTAAATGTCTGCAACTGGAGAAGAGATTATCAGTTTTAAAAGCCAGACTGTTTTTTTTTTTTAATAGTTCATTCCCTTTTATTACTGAGTAGTATTCCATTGTATGGATACACCCATCATGACACACCTGTTCATCTGCTAAAAGATATTGGGTTGTTTTCAGACAGGGACTATTACAAACAAAACTGCTATAAGCAATTGTATACACGTCTTTGTGTGGACACGTGCTTTCTTTTCTCTTGGGTAAATAGCTAGCTGTGGACTGACTGGACCACATAGTAAGTGTCCATTTAACTTTATAAGAAACCATCAAGCTATTTTCCAAAATGTTGTAGCATTTTATTTCCCACCAGCAACATATGAGAGTTTCAGGTCCCTCACATCACCAACACTTGGTGTGGTCAATCTTTTTCATTTTAGCCACTCTAAAAGGTGTGTAATAATACTTCATTGTGGTTTTAATTTGCATTTCCTAATGACCAATGATGTTGAGCATCTTTTCATGTGCTTATTACTTATTTGCATATCTTATTCAGTGAGATGTCTACTTAAATCTTTTATCTATTTTTAATTGGTTTGTCTTATTATTATTGAAAGTTCTTTGTATGTTATAGACACAAATCCTTCATAAGATATATTATTTGCACTTATTTTCTCTGTCTGTGACGTGCTTTTTTTTTTTTCTATTTATTTTTATTAGTTGGAGGCTAATTACTTAACAATATTGTAGGGGTTTTTGCCATACATTGACATGAATCAGCCATGGATTTACATCTGTTCCCCATCCTGATCCCCCCTCCCAGCTCCCGCCCCATCTGATCCCTCTGGGTCTTCCCCAGTGCACCAGCCCTGAGCACTTGTATCATGCATCCAACCTGGGCTGGTGATCTGTTTCACCCTTGATAGTATACTTGTTTCAATGCTATTCTCTCAGAACATCCCACCCTCACCTTCTCCCACAGAGTCCAAAAGTCTGTTCTGTATCTGTGTCTCTTTTTCTGTTTTGCATATAGGGTTATCGTTACCATCTTTTAAAATTCCATATATATGCATTAGTATACTGTATTGGTCTTTATCTTTCTGGCTTACTTCACTCTGTATAATGGGCTCCAGTTTCATCCATCTCATTAGAGCTGATTCAAATGAATTCTTTTTAATAGCTGAGTAATATTCCATAGTGTATATGTACCACAGCTTCCTTATCCATTCATCTGCTGATGGGCATCTAGGTTGCTTCCATGTCCTGGCAATTATAAACAGTGCTGCGATGAACATTGGGGTGCATGTGTCTCTTTCAGATCTAGTTTCCTCGGTGTGTATGCCCAGGAGTGGGATTGCTGGGTCATATAAAAGCCAGACTG